TATATATATATATATATATATGGAGTACTTACAGCTCGGTTATCGGTTGCAACGCCGGAGATAACAAACATGAGATAAAATGTGATTATGAATTCAACTACGAAAGATTGAAATTCAGTCCCTGTAGGTAGAGTTCCAGCAAAATGATCGTGTTTTCCATTAAATATTAGTCGTAAAGTTCCACTTGCTAGGGTTGCTCCAAGAATTTGAGCTGCTACATAAGCTGGTACCTGCAAAAATGTTTTTAAAAAAAAAAAAAAGATAAATAATGATCACATAATAGGTTAGAGAGAGTATACAACATAATCTATCTCTTTAGATTAAATTAATTAATAAGTCTTATGCAATAAAAATTCGGATTAGTTGGAGCACTGAATAAAATACCAGAAAAAGTAATTCTTATTACATCAAACTAATACTATTTTTGGTCTATATTATCTATCTTTTAAAGATTTATGTATTTTCTTTAAAAAGATATTTAATTGTCGTAATCCTAAGAACATTTATCTCTCGTTAAACGTCTCACTTAGTTAATATTTCAGTAATTGGAACAGTACGGTTATATTTGAAAATAATGACTTCTCATTTCTTTAAACTATCAAATATTTTATAATAAATTCAGTTTATCAAAATAATTGATATTTAGGATTGGTGGCAGAGCCGGAAATTTAAAGCTTATTGGTTCGAAATTCTAATCATTTTAAGTTATAAGGTTGTAAATTAATAATTTATAAATATTCAATAAACTTTTAAGATAAATACAAGATTTGAACTAAAGTTATCGGGTTCGGCCGAATATGTTTGCGACATGCTGGCTCCGTCCCTGATCGGAGGGGATATGTTCATTTATATAGTGTGAATGTGTCTAAATAATTAACCAAAGACACATAAAATAGTTCAATTCAAACTCAAAATCTACAAATATTCTTTTTTTTCCTCAAGACCAATGACTTTAAAAACTCAGAAAACTTTAATATTCATAGAAAAAGATAATTTAATTTTTATTCAAATATACCTGTTTCCAAGGGAACCTTTTAACTGTGGCAAAGGCAATAGTAACAGAAGGGTTAAAATGAGCACCAGAAATGTGGCCAACTGAGTAAATCATGACCATTACCACAAGTCCCCAAGTTATGGCTATTCCTGGAAATGTTACCATTCCTTTGTCTGCATTTACCACCACTGATCCACAGCCCGCAAATATCAAGAAATATGTTCCTATCATTTCTGCTATAACCTGTACATTTTCACGATTTTCATTAAAGAGTATCAAAATTTTAAAAAATAAATACACAAAAAATTTAACGGAATTTAATACATAGTATATATACATAAAAAAGTTTTACCTATATAAAATAGTAGTATAATTTTCTGGCCAAGAAGTATCAATTGACACCCCTTGCAGCTATATGACTCCGCCACGGATTATTACTTCATGTAATTATAATTTCATAAATAATCAGACCAAAAATATACATCAAAATAATACAGTAATTTCACACGTGCAAATGACCATTTGTGGTTTTTTATTAATTTGTTTTGGTGAGTTCTAAGGTTTTGTTGGCACTCTGAGGCTGAATTTTCTAGGATACTTTTAGCATAGCTACAGAACAAGTATATTCCCGCAAGATATTAGAATCAATTTAACTTTTAACTTTTTAATTAAGTTTTAAATATTTTTTCCTTAAATTTCATATCCAATAAAATATCATCACGTAAAATAGGATAGATTAGTAATAACTAAATGTTTATCTTCTTTAACGGCTTAAATTTTTAGACGATATAATCATCAATTTAATATGTTTTATAAATAAGATAACCATACAATTTGACATAGTATTAAAGCTAAGCATAGATCATGGCAAGTAACGAGTTCGAGTCTAACCATCATCTTACAAAAAGAATTTTTATGTATTTGTCCATAAAAAAATTGGGCCAGAAAAAAAAATCAGGTCAATATGTAAAAGGACATGTTCAAAATATAAAAAAATAAATATAAGTATATCCTTTCTAATTGTTTTACCTTTTAATTAAATAAAATGATCACACAATTCAACGTCTTCAATTAAACGGGAAATGAATAGAAGAACTTCTAGGGAACCTATTTTCCTTGTTTACACAGTGAGAATCGGAGGTTGCAGGTTCGAGTTATAGAAACAGCTAATAATACTTGCATTAGGGTTGATTGTCTATATTATATTTTTTGGAATACGACTCTTTTCCGTACCCTGCATAAATGCGAAATACTTTATGCACTGAACTTTCATTTTACACCGTAAGAATAGGAATAAGAAGAAGATAAGGAGTTACCTTTTGAATGAAAGGAACAGTAAGAAAGCTACAACTTGAAGAAGAATCCTTGTGATTCAAATCATGATCTTCTTTAATATTCAAAGTTACACTATGATTCCCATTAGCCCCTGTTGCTATCTGATCAGCCATAGTAATATAATCCTCTTAAGCTTCTCACTATTCTGTTCAAGAAAAGAAAGAACCTATAGGAAGATGAGACAACAAAGAGTTTCTCCTATTTATACAAACTAATTCTAAAAAAGTTATAAGAGAAAGAGAAAGGAAGATGGGACAACTTTTTTTCTTTTTCTTTTCTTTTTTATTTTTTATTTTTGGTTTCTTTCGGAGAGATCTATGCTTTGACAAAGAGTCTTTACGACATAGACTATATTTTATTTAGAAAACAAAGTGGGCAAAAGATAAGTGAAGTAAGGCGTGGTCTAGTGGTCAATACAGTGATAGTGATAGAGGAGAATCATAAAGTTTGAGATTCAATTTCGAACAGATGTATACATGATTTTTTTTTTCCATTTGCCTAAGGTTTTTGATAGGCAGAGTTACTCCGCACTTGTGCGGGTGTGGATAGCAGGTTAGGGTGTAATCGATATCCACGTGAACTAGGGGGTGCCTATTTTGGTGATAGTAGCAGGTATTCAATGAAATAATTAAAATACGCATAAGCTAACCTGATACCTGAATTAATGAGAAATAACAAATACTCGATAAAAGTGGGAGGTAGTAGCTGACTGTGGAATAATCAATATTCGGATGAACCAGGGGTTCATGTGTTGGTGATAGGTAGCAGATTTTTGATAAAATAATTGAAGTATGCCTAACCTGACTTGGTACTTAAATTTGTGAGAGATAGCAAATACTTGATAAAATATTTAAAATGCTCACAAACTAATTCGACAGAACAGTACAAAAAAAAAAAGGAGAAGGAAAAATGAAATGAAAAATTGGAAATTATGAAGATGTGATAGTTAGTATTCAGAATGGATATAGTTGAAAAGTGTGTAGCATTAATTAAGCTGTAAATAAAGATAGCATTTGATATCTAATCCGACAACACACCGAAAAACACAACGTAATAAATGCCAAGAAGAATTTTTTGTCACAATCATTAACTAAGTTCAGTACTATCCAACTGACAAATGGAAAGTTTTTTTTTCATTTTTTCCTAAAAGTGGAATATATAATGAAAGATTACCAAAAATGAAATTCTTCTACTATGAAAAAACTTTTGAGGTATACGTATTTTTTGTTAACCACTAGTGATATCACGATTCATAATATAATTAAAGAAAATATCGAAAGGATTATGTAGTATTTCAATTTATGTGATATCGATCGAATTTTGAGAGTCAAACGAGTTTTTCTTTGATCGCGATAACTTTATATATCTTTAAATGTTTTTGAATTATTAATTATTATAACTTATAGGAGTATTATTTTTTACGTAATTTTTAAATATATAAATTTTATTTTGAAAATTTTAAAAATATCAAAATTAAAAAGTTTGACTTTTAAAATTCAAATGGAGCCACTTTAAACTAAGTAAGAGTCTTCCAACTATGGGAAGACTATTTGTCTAGATCATTACTACAAAAACTAAGTAATATTTCAGGTTTAGAAAATGTTTCCTTCCAAAGTAGTATACTAAGTATTCATCATCAAATGCTGTGACACTTAGAAATAATTGCATATATATTATTAGTCTAACTAAGCTTCCTCTTGGGTATAAACGCTATTTGATGGCAGGTAATTGCTCTATTCTCTTCTAAATTATTGATATTATTTCAATAATTTAATATTATAACTTGTCATTTTTTCTTCCAAGAGAATATAGGGTGGCTGAGGGTGACAATGAAAAAAGGTAAATATCATACTACCATTAAGAATTAACTTAAATAGCAGCTCACTCAATTACTTAAAACTAAAAATAATCAGAGAATAGATAACATATGTATAATTTATGTATAATATGTGTATAACCATATATAATTAATGTATAATTTATGTATATCGACTAGAAAAAATAAATAGTAAAAATGTCCGGCTATTTGTGTAAAGATCTCTTCTATTAACAAACACATTTGGCTCGATATATTCTATGTTTCTCGATCAATCAGGCAAATTCATTAAAGATAAAAGATCTTGAATCCTAGAAGAATAAAATTGTGAAATAAACCAAGGAGAGCTTGATGCAATGATGCAATAACATACATATATGCTAGAATGAACAAGCTGATCTCTCCACCTTTAGTTAGAGATTTCGGGCTCGAGCTTTCAAAATGAAGAAATTACAAATAAGAAAAGCTTTCTCATTTAATAGGCCCTATGCAATACGATTTAATTTAATAGATAACTACTTGTCGTTACATGTTACTCTAATCGAATAGTTAAAAATAACTTTAAACGGAACAACTATTATATACCGGCAATGAAAATTACAGAACTTCGTCGAACTCAACAAACAGAGTACATCACACTTGACGCTTATGACAAGTTTAATGCTACAAGTCTTAAAAAATCTTATAGCCACATAAATGCTATAGCATATTTCATATTATTTCAATAGTTTTTCTTTTTCATTCTTAAATTTTGTGTTTGGTCAAATTATGTCATATAAATTGAAACCGGTGGAGTATGGAGGAAGAAGACTGGTGATTTGAGCATTAAAGAACAAGTATGAGTTCCCATGCAATCGGCAATACAGCAAATGAATGGTAATCCTAAAACATTAAATTTTTATTCAATACTACATCCTTGCAAATGTCATAACTAGAATCAACCATGTTATATCTTCACTAAAGTTTTGATTAAATTTTTCTTCACATGCATATTCTAGGCATGATTTCGGTTGATCCATAATTTAAGTTTTATGGGTTCAATCTTTAAGATTTTTAATATAAAATCCGTTATATTT